GGCACAGCCAGAGAGGAGACACGATATTGTCTCCCGGATTTCTCTTTTCGGTGGCTCGCCCCCCAAGTTGCCACGGTCTGAGAAGAGGTAAAAGAACAACGGGCTCCTTCACGCACCATCAAGCGAGACCTGAGCGAGACCCTCTCCCCTGGGGGTTTGCTCGCGGTCCCTCTCTTCACCGGGACGGTGCGTGGCGGCGGCAGGCGGCGACTGCCGTTCGAGAAGGTGCCCCGCCGGGGCGCCGGCCGGGGAAATACACACCACGCGGCCCCCTCCCGAGTCTGCATCTGCTCCCCCCGCGCCCCCCGCCGTCCCCTCCCAGGGCGAAAGGCGACGTCCCTCTCTCGCGCCGCGTCACTCTACCATGACCGTCGGAGGAGCGTCTTGCGACGGAGGAGGGTGTGTACGGTCAGGATATCGATGGCGGACAGCTTGTTGAAGTGTGTGGCTCGCACCATCCAGCGGTTCGTCTTGCTCCCGTTGATGCGAGCCGCCAGGAGGTCCTCGACGACTGTGTGGCTCATGGAGACGTGGCGGGCGGGCCATGGCTCGGGACGCATGTCCGGATTGCGCCAGTAGTCACTCGTGTTGTCCACGGCAGTGTGAGGCAAGCGGATCCAGCCCTCAGCAAGCCGTATACACCCGCCAAGCCACGAATCGCCCCAGCCAACTTGCGTTGGCTTGCAGCGTGCAAGGCTACCGTACGCTCGAGTGAAGGCGGCTCGATTGAACAGAAGGAAGTCGCGCTGAACGAAGTCGCCATACTCGTCCCCCCTCACAATCCCGCAGTAGTGGTGCTCCCTCGCCTGCGGCGCAAGCCTCGCCTCGATGACCCGGCGCACCGCCGGCAGCTCGACGTACGAGTCGTCCTCCGCCAGCAGCAGCCAATCGCAGAGGTTGTCCTTCACAAAGCGGTCGTGGATCTCCCGCAGTAGCCACTCGGTCCGAACGGGTGCCTCGCGACGCTCCAAGAGGGACGTGCTGCCGTTCAAGATCACGAGCTGATCGTTGCGTATCGATTGCGCTTGCATCCCGGCCGCCACCTGCTCTTGCATCCCCGTCCTAAAGTGAGGCCGCAACACGCCCATCGCCCGCGCATGCAGCGCAGACATTGTCTCCGCCACCATCGCACGGTCAAAAAGGTTGGAGATGCCATGCGCGCTCATGACATAGTGGAGGCTTGTGTTTGGAGGCAGCCACTCGCGCCGACCCCATGAGCTGCTCACAGCGACGAGCCGCTCAAAGTATTCGCTCTTATTTGCCTCGCCAGCCACAAAGACACAGAGCTGGCCCGCGCTGCTCGCCGGCATTGACGACGGACGCGCAGCCGCGCTGCTCGCCGGCATTGGAAAAGACGGAGAGGGACCCGACCGGCGGGGCGGCAGCGTTGCGGACTCTCATCCTCTTTTCCTTTTGCGTGACACAAGTTTCCCTTGCAAAAGGTTCTTAGATTTTAACACGGTGTTTGTAGGGTGTTTCTTTCTTTTGCTGAGAGAGGGTTCCCATTGAGTTTCAAGCTGTGCGGTCGGTTGCCAACTGAGCTGATCTGCCTCCTGACTGAGTCCTCGGGCTCGGGAACCGTACCCATACTACTCAAAAGTACAATATCTACCACAAAGCACCACTAGCGATTTCGCGCGGAGGGCGTAGTGAAGCGCTGGGGGTTCCCGCGCGCCCGCCCGCGCCCGGACCCGCGCGCCCCCCCGCTGCGCCCGCGGGCTCCGGATGCGCCGCCCTCCGTCTCCTTCTTCTCGATGGCAGTCCGCGTGTGCTTGTCGACGGGTCGGCGGCGTGGTCGAGGGGAAGGTCGCCGGCGGCCGCAACTCCGCCCCCGCCGTCGCTCCGCCGGCTCTCTGATCGAGTATCTCTTCACCTTCACACGAGCCACGCAAAATAAAGGAGGTTTTATCCGTGTGCCCCCCCCTCTTGCACCTCTCTCGCGCCAGATCTCACCTACGACGCGAGAGAACGGGGCAGCCACCCACGACGCCACACGACGGTATGATCTACACGACTCCAGCGCTGCACGGATTCGCTTATTGACCCACATCCGTGATCTACGACTCCAGCGCCGCACGGATCCGCTTGTTGCACTCGTCCGGAGAGAAGAACATGATCGAGTGGTCGCCCATCCCGGGATCAAACTCCTCAAAGCTGCCCCCAAGCCTCTCAGCCATCAAGGCGCAAAACTCCCACGGGACTGCCGCATCATCCAAGGGAACCATAAAATGGACTTTCCCCGAGAACCTCGCGCGGAACGTTGGCGCGTCGACACCAAGCTCCTCGACGGGATCCGTCATGATGCGCAGCTTCGCGGGATCGGAGAGGAGGCCCATCTCGTTGAGCTGATGATTCATCTGGCCGATCTGAAATCGCAGATTCATCACATGCGTACCGAACCATTTCTTGTACGACATGACGCGCTCCTTCGGATCAATGGACGGCAGCGCACGCAGGCGCTCGTCAGACAGACGCGAACGGATTTGCTCGAGGCAGCCCTTTGCATCGAAGTTGGGGAACATACATCGTGATTCGGCAGCCTCCCTCTCAAAGTCGGAGCGCATCTGCTCCTCGGCCTCGTCTGCAAACTTCAAGCCGAACTTCGTGCTCACCATCACCAGTGCCGTCACGCGCTCGGGCACCGTGTAGGCCGAGAGAACACCGACGAAGCCACCGTATGAGTGGCACACCAGTGCCGTCTCCTGCACACCCTCAGCATCCAGCACCGCAAGCAGATCGGGCACAAAGTGCTCCGCCTTCATAAACTCGATGGGATCTTCCGCGTCGATGCGGGATTGACCCCAGCCCCGCATGGAGATGCAGATGGTGTAGTACTCCTTTTGCCCGCTCTCGGGAGTCACCTGTCCCATTTTGGTCATGGCAACGAAGCTCGATGTAGTACCCCACCACGTCATTGCATTCCCGCCTGCGCCGTGGATGAACGTGATCACCGGAGCAGGAGAGCCATCCGCGAGCGTCTTGTTGCCGGCGGCGAGGTACTCCAGGGCGCAGTTTCCCCTGCGAATCAGCGGCATTGATGACGTCGGAGCTCTTCAACCTGCACCAATCAGAGCGCTGGCTCTGCGCCTTCGCGGCATCGATAAAGCCTTCTGCCGCGCGGTAGCTTCGCCGGACGGGGTGGCCGAGACGGACGACGGGGGAGTAGGGTCATCCGTATCTCTCATTTCTTTTTTTGGCTTTGGCTCTTGCGAGCGAGTTGCGCCTGCACTGCCTGTCTCTGTTGTTGCTGGTGGTGGTGGTGGTGCTGCTGCTGGTGCAGATGCTGCTGCTGGCGCGGCGCGGCTCTGCGACTGGGCTCGACGCGCGCGTCGCGAGCGTCTGACGCGGCGGGCGGCGTCGGGCAGGTGCGCTTCTCTCTCGGGTGGTGGTGGTGGTGGTGGTGCTGCTGCTGCTGGTGGTGCAGATGCTGCTGCTGGTGCGGCGCGGCTCTCCGACGCGACTCGATGCGCGCGTCGCGGCTATCTGACGCGGCGGGCGGCGTCGCGGGCGGCAGCGGTGGCGGCTCGCGGGTGGAGGTGGAGGCTGGAGGCTGTGGTGGGTCTTTGAGTTTACTTCATGATGTACTACGAGGACTAGTGATGCTGCTCCTAAGCGATGCCAGCTTGCACGTGAGTGCAGCTACGAGCTGACGGATAGAGCTGCCCTCCACGCGGACGCCCCGGAGGCCCAGTTTTGTCAGGTTGCTGCACTGTCGCAACAAGCATGGGAGTGACCTGCCCTGTGGTCCCGGTGCAAGGGTCAGCTCCGACAGCTGCGAAAGAGCTGAGCAGTCAAGTTCCGCAATGTCGGGCCCGTACTCGTCCAGCATTAAGCCACCTAGCTTCTGAAGCCGTGGGCAGGCAGCGAGAGTGTCGAGAAGATCCTGGACGGAGCTGGATTGGTCGCTCACGAGTGCCACCTCTCTGAGGTTGGCGAAGGGTCGGTAGCTCACCAGCGGCATGTTGGTCAAGATTATCTGGGGCCTGTAAACGGTGAGGGCCTCTAGCAAAGGGCAGACGGCTGCAAGGCGCGCCACATACGTATCGCTCCAGATCGAGTCCACGGTGACCTTGAGCGTCGTCAGCTTTGGAAGCACGCCACTGAGCAGCCGTAGCAGATGCTCCGGCTGCAGCGCGGCATATCCGCCAGGCACTTGCGGGGGCCAGGGCGAATCCTCGATGGTCAGGCACGTGGCATTGACGCAGCGAAGCAAGCACGCACGGAGGCGCTGCTCGCCGAGCCGCACGCCGAGCGTCACGGCTCCGATTGCGTGCCCAAGAGTGTGCACGACGCTTTGCAGCGCCAGCGGGTCCGAGCTGTACGTGTGCAGACTCATTAGGCGAGGGAACGCGTCCGGCGAAGCTACCGCGCGGCAGAAGGCTTTATCGATGCCGCGAAGGCGCAGAGCCAGCGCTCTGATTGGTGCAGGTTGAAGAGCTCCGCCGTCGCAGTCGCAGGGCGCGACTGGTGCCCATGCCGCTTCGTCGTTCAGCGTGCACTGGACCAGGCGCGCGAGCAGGTCGGCGGGTAGGTCGGAGAGCCGCAGCGGCATGGCGGTCGCAGAGGTGAACGGCTATCCACCTCCTCGCCCCAACGGTGTCACCGGAAGGCGCACACGCCACCTCCTCGCCCAACGGTGTCACCGGAAGGCGCACGAACGGTGTCACGGAAGCAGGCGACGGGCACAGAACAAAGAATACTTCGCATTTACACCGGTAGGGAGGCGTGCCAAGAGAGCTTCTTGGCGTCAAGATGCTCGCTCTGGAGCTGCCTTGAAGCCTCGCCATGAGTCTTCTCGACCCCGCGTTCCAGGTGGGCTCCGGCGCCGCCCCCCCGCGCGCGCGCACGCGCGGCGGCGACGCCTCCGCACCACCCGCGCCGCCGCCCGGCCGAGTGAGGGGAAGACGAGCAGAAAAAAAGAAAGAAAACATACAACCCAAGAAAGGGAAATTTTTCTTTTTAATGGCGGCCGAGAGCGCGGAGCCCGCGGAGGACGGCCGCGCCTGGTGCTGCGACGACGTGCACGAAGGCACCCTCCACAACGGCTCGGGCGACGCGCGCGTCGACGGCGATTGTGGCGATCCGGCGGCAGCCGCGGCGGCCACGGCGGCTCGGCTCCAGGTTTCCGGTGCCGGCCGCGTCTCCGCCAAGCCACGGTGAGGACCACCGACTCTGAGTGCGACGGTAGGTGCTGGCGGAGCGCGGTCGCAAGCGTGCTCGGATGGAGGCCGAGGAGGACGGCAGCGCAGGCGGCGCAGGCGGCAGCGGCGGCGGCGGCGGCGAGACGCTCGAAGGCGAGGGGTCAGTCACGCTCGGTGCCTTTTTCAACGCCCTCGACCACTTCACGTTGCGGCGCCCGGCCGAGGGGGGCTCCGAGCTCGCCCTGTATGACGCGCTCCGCTCGCCCGATCGCGCGCTGCTGCGGGGCGGACACTTTGTCGCCGAGGACCTCCCTTCTCGGGAGCTCTCCACGAAGCTTCTCGGAACCTTCTCATAGGCGGACACTTTGTCGCCGAGGGGTCTCTCGTCGTCGAGCAGCTGCTCGCGCTGCGGCGCGAGGACGGCACGCCCCGCTTCCGCCTCGTCTCGCTGCTGGGCACCGAGCAGATGCTCGGCCGGCTCGCCCCTACCAAACCCGGTGCCCAAATCCAACTCCGTGGACTAGGCACCGAGCAGATGCTCGGCAGGCTCGCCCCCGCCATCCAGCGCGCCGACGAGGCTCTACGCACCTAGAAGCGGAAGAAAGATCTCCCGCATCTCCCCGCATGTTTCCGCGGGGACCGAAGACGTACCTGACACCCGTAGGACTATGCTGACGACGGCTCTCGTTGCGTCGCCTTTGGCGGCTCGCGAGCCGCGCGGCAGTACCCTACCAAACCCGGTGCCCAAATCCAACTCGGTGGACCTAGGCGGCTCGCGAGCCGACTTGTCCGCGGCGACCGGCTTCAAGCATTCGGCGCTCTCCGTCCTCGGCATCGCGCTCCGCCCGCCCTCCGCCGTGCCCCTCTCGCCGTGGCTCGCCGCGCTGGCGGCCGCGGCGGGGATGCGGCGGCCGACGCTGCTGCTGCTCGACGGCGTCATCAAGCCCGAGAACGTCGGTGTGCCCCACCTCTGCAGCAGCCGCGATACCGCACCACCCACGGGACTGAACCCACACTGGGTTCGATACTCTGGAGGTATGGTAACAGGCTCGCTCTTCCGCTCGGCTCTGGCGTTCGGCGTCGCGGGCGTCGCGCCCTCTCTCTGGGCCGCGCGGACTTGCATGGCACTTGATTTCGACTCTCTTTGAGTCGACTCTAGGCTCTCGCTGCTTCGGAGGCGGAGGGCTAGTGAAGAGTAGGTCAGTGAATGATGCGAATGACTCACAGGCGTCGTGCTCTCTCCGGGCTGCGCGGACCCCCTCTACCGCAAGGCAGTCTATCTCGGCTAGATCTCGGCTAGGTCTCGGCTAGATCTCGGCTAGATCTCGGCTAGACCTCGGCTAGATCTCGGCTAGATCTCGGCTAGATCTCGGCTAGATCTCGGCTAGATCTCGGCTAGATCTCGGCTAGATCTCGGCTAGATCTCGGCTAGATCTCGGCTAGATCTCGGCTAGATCTCGGCTAGATCTCGGCTAGATCTCGGCTAGATCTCGGCTGTGTTTCGGGGCGGACCTCGGCTAGATCTCGGCTAGATCTCGGCTAGATCTCGGCTAGATCTCGGCTGTGTTTCGGGGCGGACCTCGGCTAGATCTCGGCTAGATCTCGGCTAGATCTCGGCTAGATCTCGGCTGTGTTTCGGGGCGGACCTCGGCTACCTTTCCACCGCCAGGCGATCCGCACGTCGATGGGCGCCGTCTTTCTTTTGTTTTCGCTGAGGGTTTTCTTGTTTCCAGGCGATCCGCGCGTCGATGGGCGCCGTCTTTCTTTTGTTTTCGCTGAGGGTTTTCTTGTTTCCAGGCGATCCGCGCGTCGATGGGCGCCGCCTTTCTTTTGTTTTCGCTGAGGGTTTTCTTTTTTCCAGGCGATCCGCGCGTCGATGGGCGCCGTCTTCAAACTGCCGTACACGTTCGCGCCGCACTGGCCCGAGGCGGTCTCGCAGCCGGCTGCACGCCGGGGGTGTGGACGGCGTCTCTTCACACGCCCAGCTGTGAACAGGTGCATGCGCCGCTTGATCGGGTTGCGGGTGTGGACGGCGTCTCTTCACTCCTCGCAGCTGTGAGCAGGCGCTCTCGCAGGTCAAGGCTGGAGGGTACGGCTTGCTCGCCCTGCACCTTCAAGGCTCGGTCGAGCACACCGCCGCGCTCGGCGCAAACGGCACCGCCGCCCGCCGCCGCCGCAGCCTCGTGCAGCCTCGTGCACTCTCGGGGGTAGTCTTGCTACATCGCACTGGACTGGTGCGGGTACTGGTCCTGGTGCTGGTAGGCGGGTTGGCCCCCTCCGCCGCGGCACCCGCGGCCGCCGGCCCGCCGCCACTCTGCGGCTTGCCGCTGGCGGTGGTGGTTGGGGCGGAGTATGAGGGCGTCGGCGAGGCGGCGGCGCGGCTCGCTGACGAGCGCGTTGGGCACCGCTAGATGCGGGATGGGGCGGTAGGCAAATTACACACACACCCACGCACACGCACGCACGCACGCACGCTCGCTCGCACGCACGCACGCTCGCACGCACGCACGCACGCACGCACGCACACACGCACGCACACAAAGTGGGGGGGAAGGGCCAGGCTATCCCTCGCATCTCCACGCCAGGACACGGGCAGGAGCTGGCCCGGCACACAATCTGCAAGGCCCCCAGTGCGCGAGGGTTAGTAGCCGCCTGACCCTCCCTTAGACGCGAGACACGACCCTCCCTTAGACGCGAGACACGACCCTCCCTTAGACGCGAGACACGACCCTCCCTTAGACGCGAGACACGCACTCCGGTCCGGCAGCACGAGTGGATGCGCACTCAGCGGTGTGTTGCAGCCGTGTCGCAGCCGCGTTTCAAACTCTCAGCCGCCCGTGTCTCCGCACGAGGCCCAAGCACACCGCGCGAGACCGCGCCCCCCCACCCTCCGCTCGCTCCGTCCTCGCTCTAGGTGCGCATCGCGATGGCGCCCGCGATGGCGGTCGACTCGCTGCACGGGGTGGACTCGCTCAACGTCAACGTGGCGGCGGCCATCGTGCTGGAGCGCATCTTCGCCTTCAACCGCGCGGAGCCGGCCGACGAGTGAGTCGCTGAGTCCGCAGTCTTCTGACGACGGGGTCGTAGCGCGGAGCACGAGGCGAGAGTCTGTGACCAACAGCGACGTCTGTCTTTGCTTGATGTGTTGCATTGGCTGGTGGGCAGCTCCACACAGCACACTCTCGAGATCGTGGGTCCTGTGTGAGGTGTTAGTGAAGTGGCCGACGAGGCACGAGCGAGCGAGGAAGTTCAGGAAAAAGAAATGATCCTGGTCGCGCAGTCAGCTTATCGTCCCCCTGGAGGTAGCTCCTGCCCGTCTGCCCGTGTCCGGGCGTGGAGATGCGAGGGTCGCCCCCCCTTGCCCCACCACTTTGTGTGTGTGGAGACGTTTACCTTACCTTACCTTAGGTAGTCGACGCAACAATGTGGGAGGGCAGAAATTTTCTCGGGTCGACACGGCCCCGGTCCAGCCTCCAGGTACGGTAAGGTATAAGGTTACCTAGTTCGGTCCCTGGGCCGGGCCTGGGCCGCTTAGTTACACCGCGCGGGGGGGCGCGCCGTTATAAGGTGTGGACCCGTCCCGGTCCGCGATCGCGCTAAACTTTTTATTGAGGTCTCTGGTCTCCACATTATTATGTGGACAGCTGGGCCGCCTCTCTTCTCTCGCGGCGCAGCTCCCCCAGCACGCTGCCTCGGGTGAGGGCTGCGCGTGGGCCTGCGTCCTCCCTGAGGCGACACGATTCCGGTCCGTCGCCACGGAAGCTGGAGGAGGAGGCAGCCTTAGAAGCTGGAGGATGTGGCGCGACTGCCGACGGCAAAGGGCTGTCAGGCTTCGCTGTCGCCTCCTGTGCCTCGGCCCACGCGAGGGCCTTCTCCAGGTAGGCGTGCCGCTCACCGTCTGTCTTCTGGCCCTCCCACTCGTAGAACGGAACATTGATCACCCGCCAGCCGGCCGCCGTGAGGAGGCGCCGCTTGAGCAGCGTGGGTCCGTTAGGTTTGCGGTTGTCAGGCAGCAGGAAGTGAGACGGGCCGTCCACCTCGATCGCGATGCGTGACGAGGGAAGCGCCAAGTCGAGAGAGTAGCCGGTGAGCGGCTCGACGTATTCCATCGTAGACCCGGACCGGACGCCGAGGATGGCAGCCCAGACGGAAAGGTGCAGCTTCGAGGTGGTAGTTGGCTCCTCCCGCAAGGCGGCGCAGCAGAGCTGGCGCTGGGACGCGGACAGAAGATACTGCTGCGCATCTGCGCCATGTTCCAGGGAAAGCCAGAGCTGCCATTGATGAAGCTGAGAGCGGTCCCCGATGCTCCACCCCGACGGATCCTGCGCAAGCGAGTCGCTGACCACGCGCACGCACTCGGCAATCATCGCTTGATGATATTGGTCGGCCGTCGAATACGCCCACACCGTGTTGGAGAGATTTTGAGGGTTGAAGCCCGCCAGCTTGCTCCGCACCGCCTCCTCCGCCACCGCCGCGTACAGCGCATCTGCAGCCACGCCCGCCACCGCATACGCCCACACCATGTTGGCCATGTGCTGAGGCTTGAAGCCAGCCAGTCCGCAGCGCACCGCCGCCTCCGCCACCGCCGCGTACAGCGCGTTCGCAGCCACGCCCGCCGTCGCATACGCCCACACTGTGATTGACAGCGCCTGAGGATCAAAGTCAGCCAGTCCGCCGCCCACCGCCGCCTCCGCCACCGCCGCGTACAGCGCGTCCGCAGCCACGCCCGCCGTCGCGTACGCCCACACCGTGATGGCGATGTTCTGAGGCTTGAAGCCAGCCAGCCCGCCGCGCACCGCCGCCTCCGCTACCGCCGCAAACAGCGCATCAGCAGCCACGCCCGCCTTTGCAAAGGCCCACACCGTGTTGGTCAGGCCCTGAGGGCTGAAGCCAGCCAGCCCGCCACGCACCGCCGCCTCCGCCACCGCCGCGTACAGCGCGTCTGCAGCCACGCCAGCCTTTGCGTACGCCCACACCGTGATGGCGATGTTCTGAGGCTTGAAGCCAGCCAGCCCGCCGCGCACCGCCGCCTCCGCCACCGCCGCAAACAGCGAGTCCGCAGCCACGCCCGCCGTCGCATACGCCCACACCGTGTTGGCCAGCGCCTGAGGGTCAAAGCCCGCCAGCCCACCGCGCACCGCCACCTCCGCCACCGCCGCGTACAGCGCGTCCGCAGCCACGCCCGCCGTCGAGAACGCCCACACCGTGATGGACAGCGCCGGGGGCTTGAAGTCCGCCAGCTTACTCCGCACCGCCGCCTCCGCCACCGCCGCGAACAGCTCGTCTGCAGCCACGCCCGCCGTTGCATACGCCCACACCGTGTTGGCCATGTCCTGAGGGTTGAAGCCGGATGCCTTGCTCCGCACGACCGCGTCCGCGATCGCCGCAAACAGCGCGTCCGCAGCCACGCCCGCCGTCGCATACGCCCACACCGTGTTAGCGATGTTCTGAGGCTTGAAGCCAGCCAGCCCGCTGCGCAACGCCTCCTCCGCCACCGCCGCGTACAGCGGACACGCTTGCAGCCCGCACTTCGCTACACCGTGAGCGACGGTCGCCAGGTTGCGTGCTTCGCACGACGAGACGAGGTCAAGCGTGCGCTGCACCAGCCGCTCAAGCTGCTCCTCGTGCCAACGCTCGATGCGATGCTTGCCCAGTTTGTTCCACAGGTTCGCAGCGTGGATGTGGTTCAAGCTCGCGCTGTGGGCGGCAAAGAGCGCGAGCAGTTCGTCGGCGCCGCTGGCATTCGAGATGTGGCTGTTGATCTGCTTAGCATTGAGCTGCCTGCCGGCAGCATCCCCAGTTTTGAAGTAGATGAATCCATCTACGCCGACGATACCATAGCTCTGTCGCTCGCCGCGCGATCCCGCACCGCGCATCGGCGGACTCAATCGGCGGTCGCTGTGCTGAGGCTGCCCCTCGCCCCGGCGGTCGCGCCGGTCATGGTCGCGCCTGGGATCGTGGTACCGATCGTCGCGCCGATCGTGCCAGTCGCGCTCGCGCTCGTCTCTGCACCGGCGGTTGTCGTAGCGCTCGTCGGACCAATGCCGCTGCTCATCGCGCCGTCGCGGCTCATCGCGCCGTCGCGGCTCATCGCGCCGTCGCGGCTCGTCCCTCCATCGCTGCTCGTCGCGTCCGCAGTCGCGCTGACGAGGCTCGCCGCGCCACCGACGCTCCTCGCCGATCATATCTGGCGAGTAGAGATTACGCCTGCTATTCACAGCACAAGCCCTCGTGGGGTGCGCAGCGAAACGCAGTGAAAAAGTGAGGCGTGGTCTCTACTCGCCAGCGATCATATGGTCACCTGCTAGAAGAAAAGATTTCTTAAAAACAAGCCTCTCTCACAGCACACTGGCACGACAAGGGCGCGGACTGGCGCGGACTGGCACACACACCGGCTCACCACCGGAGCCGCCTAAGCGACTCCGTTAAGAACGGCAATGCACTCCGCACCATGCACAATGCCGCTCTCCCCGCACGCTAGCTCGTTCACCGTCTGCCACGCCACAGCGGTGTGGAGGACGACTGACAAAACAAAACCTCTGACAAACGCTGCAGAAAAGAAAAACGCGCCCCATGTGAGTCCTTTTTCTTTGTCCGTTTTCTTTCTTTTTCCTTCTTTTTCTTTTTTCTTTCTTTCAGTAAGTGTGTGTGACCATCACCAGCGGGGGAGACTCCGCCTATGCAACACCCCAGAGAGAGAGGGGCTGCCATCGCCGAAGCTGTCCTAAGCATAACTCCCAAACCCGCAGCGGCCCAGGGGGCCTTGGGGCAGCCTGCCGGACCACCGCCGCCGCACGGGGCTAAGCACCAGAAGATGAATGTAGTCGATGGATGGGCTGCCGACCGTGCCCCCCCTCTTTGCGTCAGAGTGGGTCGCTCCTACGCGCCGCGCCGGGTAGGGGGCGCGCCCGGTCCTCGACGGAGCCGCGCGCCCCGAGCGACCCAGGCGGCGAGTAGTCGTCGTTGAACCTCCGGCACGTAGTTGCCCGTGGTTAGCGCCCCCGCCCGCCCCCCCCGTCCGTCGCCTCGCAAAAGAAAAAGCATGAGTAAGCATCAGGAAAGGGAACATCAACCACCGCGTGAAAACTGCGCGTACGTCCCCGCGCGCACGCAAACATACGCGCAGCGCCCAGAAGCCTGTGTCATGGGCGCAAGCCCAGTGCTGGCGCCCCATGGCCGTCCCGCGCCGCCCGCACCAGCTGCGCGCCCCTCGCACTACGGCACTACCAGAGCCAGCCGCTTGTCCACTCACGCCGCGACGCGCGCGCCGCAGCACACCTCACCAGCACTACCTCGCCTTTTTGCGCCCTGTGCAGGCTCTGCACACTGCTTCTGGCATCTCACAAGCGGCTGTACCAGGACGCGCCGCGGTACGACGCAGGTCCTGCACCGCGCAAGCCGCGCACGCACGCCCGCACGCGCACGCGCGCTCGCGCTCATCCGCCCAGTCTGCTGCACAACCTGTCAGCCTGCCTGCACACACAGCATACAGCACCATGTGCACGCATACGCTTAGACGCAGCCCGCACCCCGCAACAATAGCCTGCCTCACGCCTCACCACGCCGTCTCGCGCCCACACCGCCAGCAGCCCACTCAGAGAAACTGCAGCGCGCGCCTCTGCACGCCTACAGTCTCTCTGAGACCTTCACAACCCATCCACCGCCGCCGCGCCCCCCCCGGCCCGGGACAGGGCTGGCGCCGCCCAAGGATAACAAGATCTGCACCAAGCAAAGGCGGTGCCCGGTAGAACTGGTACATCTGCGCAGGCTCCCGCAGGTTGAGCGCGCGCTGCGCCCTGCCGCCCTCCTCCTCGCCGAGGTCGAACTTGTCGGAGAGGAGGTAGTCGATGAGGGCGGTGAAGCTGACGAGGTCCGTCTTGGGCGCCGTGATCTCGGCGGCGTCGCGCTCCTTCATGCCGATGCCGAACATGGTCCGAAAGACCGGGGACCGGGCGCAGAGCACGTTCTTGCTCACGTGCTCGATGCGCTCCTTGTCGTCGCCGACCAGGAAGGTGACCATGCCCTGCGGGAGGGAGGCGTCGCCCCGCATCGTTGCGAAGTCAGCCAGGATGGTGGAGGGCGGAACGACGATCGGGGCAAAGGAGGGAGGAGGAGGAGGCGCCGCCACGCAGACCTGGCGGAGGCCTCCTTCGGAACTGACCAACAGCGTGCTGCCGTCTGGGCTGATGGCGATTTCTTCTGGGTAGTCGAACCCCACGGCGTCGCCCACGCCATCGGCGCGCGCTGCCCGTGGTGCCGCTGCCCGCGACCGTCGTCACCTCGCCAGTCGCCACCTCAACCCGCCGGATCTTGTGGTTGTTGCAGTCCGCCACAAACAGCGCGCCGCCGTCTGGGCTGATGGCGATGCCATTTGGGTTGCAGAACTGCGCCGCGTCGCCCACGCCATCGGCGCTGCCCGTGGTGCGGCTGCCCGCGAGCGTCGTCACCGCGCCAGTCGCCACCGCAACCCGCAGGATCTTGTGGTTGCTGCAGTCGCAGTCTGCCACAAACACCGCGCTCCCGTCCGGGCTGGCAGCAATGGTGTAGAATTCGTCACTTGCCGGCAAGGCTGCCACGCGGCGCACGCGCCCGGCCGCCGAGTGCAGCAGCGAGTCCTTCGTCGCGACGTACCAGGCGCCCGCGTGGTCGCTCGCGATGCCAACGCGACTGAGCGATGCCAGAGGGCCGTCCTCGCCCTCGAGCGCCAGCGTGGAGACCTGTCCGACGACGCGCGCGCCAAAGATGGACGCCTCGAAGCCATCCGCGACCGGCACGGGCTCCTCGTCCTCCTCACCGCCGCCGGTGCGGGCGCGCTTGCGGGCGGCGGATGGCACAGCTTCCCTCGGGTGCCGAGCAATGGCCGAAGGCGAAGCTTTTTTGTATACTGAGAGATTTCGTTGAAGATGAGCGCGCGCGTCACAGCGCAGGCCAGGTCTACACTGGCCGCGGCACCAGCTCCCGCGGTCTGCACGCTAGGAGTGGTCCGCCCTCGCAATGAATGCGGAATACTATTACGGAAAGTACAACTAGTGCGACACACTAGTCGCTCTCGTAATCGCGCCAAGAGCGCGGATACACACATGCTCGCGTTCTGAGCCACACGCCGCAGGGACTGCAAGCATAGGTGTCACTCGTCCTTCTCGCCACGGACATGGGTGCCACTCCGGTCAAGGGTCAACATCCACCTGGCCTCAAACGAGCAAGTAGCTCGGTTTGCGCCCCCGTCCACGCCGTTAGCCACAGCATTCGAAGAGCATCGGCAGCTGCTGTCGGCTGGGTCCGCCGCAGCAGGGGGGCAGCTCTTCCGGCGGTGACGAACCTTAGGCCAGTCAGCCTGCCTCTGTGATGGCACTGCGTCATCAAGCTTTTTGTGAGGCCACTAAACTAATAGACGCGAGCAGCTCGTCTCCAAAAGACTCACACGGCGCTTGGCTCCTTCCTACACGAGACGTCTTCCGTAATGTGTATCGCGCGCCTTGCGGGGGGGGCGCGGAAAAGAGGAACCTCTTAGCGCCATCGCCATGGCGCTGCAAGCAGCGCCGGGCAACGACGACTTACCGCCTCCCGGTCCCCCTCGGCACACCTCCGCTGCTCAATGTGAGGTCACCGAATGGAGGGCGAACGGCACGACACGAAAAGGCAGGGCGAGGCGGATGGAGAAAGAAGTGCCGAGGAGGCCATGGTGGAGGGGAGGGACGGGAGGACGAAAGAAGGGCGAGGAGGACGAGCGGCCCGCACAGGCCGCGAGCAGACAGCGCCTGCTGGCCATCTCGAGACATGGGAGGGCTTCGTGAAGGATGGATTGAAAAACATTCGAACAAAGAAGAGGCGACTGGGGGAACCGGCAGAGGATGCAGTGACGTGACACACACACACACACACACACACACACACACACACACACACACACACACACACACACACACACACACACACACACACACACACACACACACACACACACACACACACACACACACACACACACACACACACACACACACCGCTCACCCACGCGCACCGGGCCTTGCACTTTAAATGCCGTGGGGCTCCTGTCGTTAGACGTGGAGACGCGAGGGTTGCCCCCCCTTGCCCCACCACCTCGTGTGTGTGGAGAAGTTTACCTTACCTTACCTTACCTCAATGTTTGACGACTCGAACCCATGAAGCTTCCCCGTGCGCGGGTTACCCCGCACACGGGGGCAGCCTGCCAGCCACGTATCCACGCAAGCGAAGGCGCTCAACAAATAAAAACGCTTCGATCTAGCTGCCGCGAGCCGCCTTCCTCCCAAGCCGCCACACAGCAAGCGAATATGAAGCCCGCTCGTGAGGCAGATCACGCAGTCGCCGTGCAGCAGAGCAGCAGCAGATTCAAAGTGCTCGCTCTCGCAGTCATCGTGTGTGTCGCTACAGCCCTCGCGGCCGCCATCGGCGCCAGGTCGACTGGAGCGGGGCCAACCAGTCTGTCAACCAGTGAACCAGTCTGTGGCCCAATCTGCACCATTTTCTGTGTCCATGGCAATATCGTGGACGCAGACGGCTGCCCGACGTGCACGTGCATAGTAGCACCACCGTCTCCTCTCCGGCCTCCTTCTCCGCCTCTGCAATCGCCCTCGCCGCAGACTTCATCCTCGCTCTCGCCATCCACCTCGCCGTCACCGCTGCCCTCCGCCTCACCATCACCGCCACCTGCCGCCACGCCGTCACCGCCACCCTCCGTATCGCCATCACCGCCACCTGCCGCCACGCCGTCACCGCCACCCTCCGTATCGCCATCACCACCACCTGCCGCCGCGCCGTCACCGCCACTCTCTGCTTCGCTCACCCGACTCAGTTTGCAGGGCAGTCCCCGCATCTTTCGGGACGGGGATAGTGTCGCCCAGCTGGGATCGTTGGTCTACCGCACGGACGCAATCATTCGGATGACGGCCAAGACATTCACCACGTTTGAGCTCGTCAGCTTTGTACCAGTTGACTTAGAAGACGTTGAAATCATCATGAGCTTCCAAGGAGGTCCGCAGAACGTCAGTGTCGCGCTCATCGAAGACCTCCCCGCGCACACCATCGTCGAGCTGGAGTATGCCTTTGTGACTTACCCGGAAGGCCTCTTCGTCGCCCAAGACGGAACAGCACTCGACCTTGGATCCATGTATGGCACAGGTGTTGCGACTGGGCAAGTGACTTTCGCCTACCGTGGTACCAGCACCATCATGCAGCGCCTCGAGCACCTGAAGAGCGTGCCATGGGCCTTGCGCCTGTACGACTTTGATGCAGGAAACAACCATGATAATTGGATTGACGACCCCGAGCCTCAACATGCCCGCCTGTGGACCGCGCACATTCTGAACGTGGCGTACCTGGTCACCCGCCCAAACTTTGCGGACCGAATGGCAGCTGAGCCCATCACTGATAACCAAGGCACCTTGATGAGCGCCGAAGCGAAGCGGGGCGTCCTCGCGAGGCTGCTCTCGCCTCGAAGCTTCAACCTTGGCGTTGTCACCACAGTCTCCGGCCTCGGCGGTGGGAGCACGCTGGGCGTCGCCAGCTACGTCCTCAGGCACGACTTTTTCTACGGCCAACAAGATGGGACGACTTATCACGAACTCGGACACGTGCTCGGCTATTCTCACGCCTCGACCATGACATACGGGAGCGAGGGGGGCAAAGCTGGAAAGGGGTTCACTCCCTTGGGCATGGCATTCGCCCGAGAGATGGAGGTTGCGAATGACATCCTCATCGATCAGTCCAACTACGCGTTCCCCGACGACCACCAGATCCGCTGCACTGGAGCAGGGTTCGAACAAGCTTGCTCATGGTTCATGCAGTGCACCGGACTCGCCTACGACGACGGGGATGAGTACGGTTACTGCGAGTAATGCGCGCGCGGTCGCCCGCTAGATGCGGCACGCGACGTGAAGCTGAGAGTGTGGGCCACCCCCCGCCCGCGCGATACACACGAGTCAAGAACTCATGATGTGTTGTGGCAAGCAAGAGAGACGACTCTAATTACTGTTGGCGTCCGCTTCAACACACACTACGCGCTCGTACCTCGTGGCGCTGCGGCCGCTCGGTCGGCGGGTTGTTGCACGAGTATATGGGCCACGATGTCTCAAATATGAGGGGTTTTGACTCCTACCGGCTCCTGACGCTATCCCTGGCAGCTCTAATGGCCAGGATCAGTAGTGTTGTGATAGAGGCTGCCCATACTAGCGCAGGAGCTGCCACACTCGCCCGGACCGTCCCCTTCTGGGGCCGGTTCCGCAGCCCGCGAGAGCCGACAGCGGGGCCGTGCCGCAGGTGCCTACTGCCGAGAGCCACAAACACTGCGCCGTCCCGCCATCACCTACAGGCTGTCTTGTGGGATGGTTGGGATGTCCAAACGCCACCATCTTGGCTCTTGCGACCTCAAACCCTCGAGCTGTATGGGTGGTCCTGACGTCGACAGACGCCCGAGGACCATGGTGAAGCTGAGCCGGAACGCGTCGACAGGTCTCGTCTGAGCCCGTGGCGGTCGCCGGCTGAGTCGTTGTGCACGGGACGGTACCTCAGGCGTCACCTCCGCAGCCTCAGGTCTCACACTCCATCACCTCCGCCGGGACGCCTTCGGTGGCACGCTCGGCGGCGACTTTGTGGCAGCCCCACAGCGAGCGCGGCATCGAGCCTGTTCGGTCTGGTCGGTTCGCGGCACTCACTGGGTGCCAGGGAGTGCCGCCGACACGCGAGCGGTGCTTCCTGGCGGCGCGCGCCGGCTGTGGGGCTGCCACAAACTCGAGACACGCTTTTTGGGACATTTTCGACGCTTTTGGCCCATATACTCGTGCAACAACCCCGGCGGCCCAAGCACTGGAGCACTTGGAGTGAGTCGGCAACTCACATCCATTTTATGTGGTCTGACCTCTGACGCCTCTGACGGGCCCCTTTTCGCAAGAAGCGGCTTGCACGGCGCATGAGGCGCGGCGCGCCGAGAGGGAACGCGCACCCACAGTAGCCTCTCTCTCTACCCTTCCCTCCCCTCCAAGCGAGGCCCTGCCAGCCCCCTCCCCCGAGCCGCCACCCCACCGCTCTTCGCCCGCCTGAGAGGCCGCCTCAGGCCCGTGGCCGCTCACCAGACCGTCTTCATGGAGGGCTTCATCGCCTTGATCTTGTTCTTCTTGTCGTAGGCCGCCTCCTCCACATACTCACACACGATCCTGGGGGTGGGGTGTGGGGGGGGGGGGGGTCACCGGTTCTTCGCAAAGTAGCGCCCGTGCATCGCCTGCTTGAGCCGCGCCGCCTATCCGGGAGATATGGGGAGCTACGGGGAGCTACGGGGAGATGCGCTTGTGTGTCCGTGCCGTCGCCGCTCGCTTCTAGCTGCTCTAGCTACGCTCTAACCTCCGAGTGCGCGAGCATCTCCCCATATCTCCCCATATCTCCCCACGCCTCCCCATATCTCCCCACATCTCCCCACATGTCCCCATCTCTCCCCACGCCTCCGAGTGCGCGAGCATCTTGATGTACACGAAGCCGTTGGACCAGCGGTCGGGCGCCACGTGCACCACCGTGCCCAGCTTGGACGCCTACACAAAAGAAAACCCGCGGCCGCCGCGCGATAAGAAGAGCAACGCGTCTGGGACGTGTCTGGGACGTGTCTGGGACGTGTCTGGGACGCGTCTGGGACGTGTCTGGGAGGTGTCTGCGAAGTGTCTGCGAAGTGTCTGCGAGGTGTCTGCGAAGTGTCTGCGAAGTGTCTGCGAAGTGTCTGCGAAGTGTCTGCGAAGTGTCTGCGAAGTGTCTGCGAAGTGTCTGCGAAGTGTCTGCTCGGACGCCTCGGTGCGAACGTCATTTGCGAGCTCCTTGTAAAAGGCGTCCGGGTCGGCCGTCACCTGCGGCCAGGAGATGTGGGGAGATGTTGGGAGATGTGGGGAGATATGGCGCGCGCGCGTGTGTGTGTGCGTGCGCGCGCGCGTGTGTGTGTGCGTGCGTGCGTGCGTGCGTGTGTGTGCGTGCGTGCGTGCGTGCGTGTGTGTGTGCGTAGTGGGGGGGGGGGGGGGGTCGTCACATCGTCGCTCAGCCGGTCAAACATGTTCTTGAGCACCACGCACCGCTCCTTGTCCTTGGAGTCGCCTAGAAAAGGAAGCCCCCGCCGCGCATAACAAGAAGACGGCCTCGCGCGCACCACCGCCCCATGCCTCCTTGGAGTCGCCTAGAAAAAAGAAAACCACCCCGCCGGCTCACACAGAAACCGGGCTCGCGTGCGCCGCCCCCTCTCCTCGTCAGTCGCCGAAGTTTGCGATCCCGTCGGCGGTCTGCAGCACCTCGTTCGTCAGCGTCACGCCCTTCTTCTCCGCCAGCCGCGCCTACGCGAAAAGAGAAGTCACTCGCGGCCTGATTTCTTTTTCACGTGGCGCCCTTCTTCTCCGCCAGCCGCGCCTACGCGAAAAGAGAAGTCACTCGCGGCCTGATTTCTTTTTCACGTGGCGCCCTTCTTCTCCGCCAGCCGCGCCTACGCGAAAAGAGAAGTCACTCGCGCCCTGATTTCTTTTTCCCACGTGACACGCCCTTCTTCTCCGCCAGCCGCGCCTACAGCAGAAGAGACGCCCGCCGCCGGTCGGTCGGTCGTTCCGCGCTCAAACCTCTTCTCCTCCTCCCCCCCTCCCAGCCCGCACCTACACAAAAGAAACACGCGCATCGTCCTCTCTGTGCCCCGCCAAGGCCGCCCCCCTCCTCCCCTCCGCCGGCCGCGCCATGATCTGCGCGCGCTGCGCCGCCGTCACCTTTGTACCGCCGCCGCCGGGGCCCTCGTCGTTGAGCGTGTCCAGCCGCTCGATCGCCTACTCACACACGCCCGCCCCTGTGCAGAGGCGCCGTTCACAGCCTGCTCCTTCCGCGTGCCGAGAAGGCGCGAACGGTGTGGGGAGATGCGGGGAGGTATGGGGAGATGTGGGGAGATATACTGGCGCGAGCACCCCCAGCTGCACAAGTTGAGGTGTGGGGAGATGTGGGGAGGCGTGGGGAGGCGTGGGGAGGTGTGGGGAGATGTGGGGAGGTGTGGGGAGACGTGGGGAGATGTGGGGAGATGTGGGGAGATGTGGGGAGATCGCCATGTAGTCGCCCGCGCGTCCGTTGCCGCCTGATTCATGATGACCTCGGAGTGAATTACGAGCTCCTTACGAAGCCGTCGCCCGGCGACCGTCGCCGCCTCCGGTCCCGTTCCCGCCGCCCTCGCCCGCGCCCGAGGAGCTCATCGACGAGTCTTGGCCAGAGAGGGACACGCGCAGGTTCCGCCTAAAAAAGAAAGACGGCGGCTCTGGCCAGAGGGAAAAAGAAACCGCAGCGGGCACACGCAGGTTGCGCCTAAAAAAGAAAGACGGCGGCTCCTGGCCAGAGGGAAAAAGAAACCGCACCCGGCACACGCAGGTTGCGCCCGGCCAGGTTGAAGCCGTCCATCTGGTCCATGCACCTAGAAGGTTCCTAGAAGGTTCCTAGAAGGGTCCTAGAAGGTTCCTAGAAGGGTCCTAGTCCATCTGGTCCATCTGGTCCATGCACCGCTTCCCGTCCGCAGCGAGGGCGAAGTGGAGGAAGCCGTACCGCGCCTCGCCCGTCGCTTGCTCGCGGTGGATGTCGATCCGCTCCAGGAAGCCTACGTGCAGGTGGGGGCACCGCCTCCTCCTCCCATCCCGCGGCTTGCGGCGGGCTGCTTTCTTTCTTTTAGGCGAGCCGAAGGGGGAGAACACGCCGCGCAGCTGCTCCTCGGTGATCTCCGAGTGGAGGTTGCCGACGTAGAGCTTCATCCCGCTCTCCACGCCCGAGCCCATGCCCAGCGTCGCGCCCGCCATCATCCCCGCCGCCTTGATCGCCGCCGGCGTCGCGCCCTTGGCCGCCAGCCGGTTCTTCTCTGCGTAGCTCGGCTGCACGATGATTGGCATCTCGCGGATGAGAGAGCCGTCGAGCTGGAGCGCGCGCGAGAAGGAGCCGCCGTCGGCCATCTCGATGTACCCCGCGCCGAGACACTTCCCCGTCCGCTCGTCGGTGATCAGCCGCACGTCCGTCACCTTGCCCGCTTTCGAAAAGAGCTTGAAGACGTCAAACTCGCCCGTCTTGGGGTGGAGCTGGCGCAGCATGAGCGTGAGCTCGTCCTTGGCGGCCAGCTTCTCGAAGTCCTCGCTCTTGTCGTAGTACGTGTCCTTGCCCCGCTTCCGCTTTGCCGTCCCCTCCTCTGTCTCGCTCGGCGCGCCCCCGTCGGACAGGAGCTTTGGCGGCGGCGGCGGCCGCATGGAGGACTCCCCCGGCGGCGGAGAAGACGACGGCGAGGCCATCGCGCGCGGCTTGGGAGTTTCGAAGCTGCGCGCTGAGCGGTGGTGGCGCGCCCGCGAATTCTTTTGAGCTAGCCTTCGATGTGCGGCGCGCGCTAGATTCGGGTTGCCCGTAGGGCGGTTTCAGGTTGCCCTAAGCGCTAAGGCGATCCCTCCATTCGAAAACGAGGTGGCTACTTGTCTCCCGCGTTGAAGGCGCGCAGCTGGGCGAGCCGGCTAACCTCGGAATGTGACACCATAATGGCTGTGCTGGCTCCTGCACAGAGCCATCTTACCTTTATATTGTGTCCGGGCAAGGCTCCAGCGACCAGCCCAGCACTGCGGCAAGGACAGGGGCGGGTACCGCTCGGAAGCAGCGAGTCACACGCGGTCGTCGAAAGGCCGACACACCCGTGCGCGCTCACTCAGGCGGGCCAACAAGCGGAGAAGAGCTCGGGGGGGAGGGGGGGGCAGACTGTGGCGCGGGGCAGGTGGCGGCCGGCTCTGGAGACTCGGAACAGAACCCTCCCCGCCTCTCGGCTCAGGCGGCGAACTCTGGGGTGAGGGCGTCGAGCTCTGTGAGGGTGGAGGAGACGGTGGAGGCCTAGCACAGGGGGAACCAGAAATACGTGAGGGCTGTGAGGGTGGTAGAGACGTGGAGGCCTAGGGCAGGGCAGGCAGCAGCCGCTGAGGAGGCGCTCTGTCGCCCGCACACACTGCCGCTCTCACGCGCTCGCCCTTCCTTGGGGGAGTGAGGGAAGAACAGGAAGGAGGTACGCGCTCGGCAAATCCCGGCAAATCCCGGCAAATCCCGGCAAATCCCGGCAAATCCCGGCAAATCTCGGCAAATCCCGGCGGATCTCGGCAAATCTCGGCGGATCTCGGCCAACCTCGGCGGGTCTCGCTTCTCGGCTAGTGTGTGCCCACGACTGCAGCCGCTCGGCCATCGTTGCGATCTGCGGCTGCTGCAGCACGCGCGGCTGCACCCACGTGACGGTGAGAGTTTGGTTGACCTGGCCGCGCGGAGAGGGGGCCGAGGTGAGCCGACGGGGGAGGGGAGGGGAGGCAAGGGGAGGGGAGGGGAGGGGAGGGGAGGTGGGGGAAGGTGGGGCAAGGTGGGGGAAGGTGGAGCAAGGTGAGGGAAGGTGGAGCCGAGGGGAGCCGAGATGATGCCGAGATGATGAGAGATGGGGAGATATGGGGAGATACGGGGAGATACGGGGAGATACGGGGAGATATGGACCTGGTCGATGACGCCGCGGATGATGCCGAGGGAGAGGGCTCGCATGAGGCAGATCTCCACCTGGGGAAAGAGGTCAGGAACACTTCTACACACACACACACACACACACACACACACACACACACACACACACACACACACACACACACACACACAAGGTGCCCACCCAGCGCGCGCCCACGGAGGCAGATCTCGGGCAGATCTCGGGCAGATCTCGGGCGGATCTCGGGCAGATCTCAGGGGCAGATCTCCACCTCCTCCATCCGCAGCTTGGCGGCGGTGGCGATGTGCGCGAACGGGACGATGCGGTCGGCCCCCGGACCGGTGCGCTGGAAGAGGGTCTGGGTGAGGCACATGAGCGTGATCTTCTCCTGTGAATGAAGGAAGAAGTCTGGAGGAGTGAAGCCTCGCAGGTGAGGCAGAGCAGCGTGCTCTGCTCTTCTCCTTGAGGAAGAGCGTGTTTGAGAGCAGCGCGGGCTGGGCCTCGAGGTGCACGTGCTCGCGCGCAACCAGCGCCTATTCACAGCAGTGGGTGTGAAGAGACGCTGTTCACAGCTCGAGCTGCATGTGCTCGCGCGCAACCAGCGCCTAGGGGGACGTGGCCCTGAGTGATGTGTACGCCCACTCAGGGTGTGTGGCAGCCCGCTGGCTGTGTGTCTAGTGAGCTTGTTTGTGTCTGTGTGTCGCTCGTGCGTGTCGTCATCATCTGTCTCGCGTCCACCCATACCACGCTGGTGTCCAGTCCGAGCCTGGCTGTTCTTCACCTTACTACATACATACATAGCGCCTCGTACTGCTCAATGTCGCCAGCGTTGAACGCGCGCAGTAGCTGGGCGAGCCACGCGTACCTAGAGAGAGAGAGAGAAGAGAAGAAATCGGTGGCGCGAAACAAGAAATACCGGTCCCATGGGCGACGGGCGCACCTAGAGAGAGGAAAAGAAATACGTGGGCGGCCGCAAGAAGGATGGCTTCTGGCGGCGCGTACTGTGTCTGCTCGAGCGTGAGATAGGGGGAGATAGGGGGAGATAGCGTACTGTGTCTGCTCGAGCGTGAGATAGGGGGAGATAGGGGGAGATAGCGTACTGTGTCTGCTCGAGCGTGGCGACCACCGGGTGCTCGAGCAGCTCGCCTGTGAAGCGGGGAGATGGGGGGAGATGGGGGGAGATAGGGGGAGATAGGGGGAGATAGGGGGAGAGACAGAGAGAGAGGGAGAGAGGGAGAGGGAGAGGGAGAGCGAGCGAGTGAGCGAGAGAGGGAGAGAGAGAGAGAGGGAGAGAGAGAGAGAGAGAGAGAGAGAGAGAGAGAGAGCGAGAGCGAGCGAGCAAGCGAGCGAGCGAGAGAGCGAGAGCGAGAGCGAGAGAGAGAGAGAGAGAGGGGGGGGGAGGGAGAGAGAGAGGGAGAGCGAGAGTGAGAGCTCACCAAAGTTGTACAGCTTCTCGCCGACCAGCGCTGCGATCCCGAGGTCAAACGAGATCTCGAGCGCCTCGGAGGAGGGCATCGACGACAGCGGCGCATAGGCGAGCAGCAGCAGCGCCTGTTCACAGCAGCCGGTGTGAAGAGACGCTGTTCACACCTCATCGCACGGCGGGCGAGCAGCAGCAGCGCCTGTTCACAGCAGTGGGTGTGAAGAGACGCTGTTCACACCTCATCGTACGGCAGGCGAGCAGCAGCAGCGCCTGTTCACAGCAGCGGGTGTGAAGAGACGCTGTTCACACCTCATCGTACGGCGGGCGAGCAGCAGCAGCGCCTGTTCACAGCAGTGGGTGTGAAGAGACGCTGTTCACACCTCATCGTACGGCGGGCGAGCAGCAGCAGCGCCTATTCACAGCAGTGGGTGTGAAGAGACGCTGTTCACACCTCATCGTACGGCGGGCGAGCAGCAGCAGCGCCTATTCACAGCAGTGGGTGTGAAGAGACGCTGTTCACACCTCATCGTACGGCGGGCGAGCAGCAGCAGCGCCTATTCACAGCAGTGGGTGTGAGGAGACGCTGTTCACACCTCATCGTACGGCGGGCGAGCAGCAGCAGCGCCTATTCACAGCAGTGGGTGTGAAGAGACGCTGTTCACACCTCATCGTACGGCGGGCGAGCAGCAGCAGCGCCGCGCGGTAAAACTCTGCCGCAGGACCCAGCACCTTGGGGGGAGATGTGGGGAGGTGTGGGGAGATGTGGGGAGGTGTGGGGAGATGTGGGGAGGTGTGGGTAGGTGTGGGGACGGTGTGGGGGAGGTGTGGGGAGGTGTGGGGAGATGTGGGGAGGTGTGGGGAGGTGTGGGGAGATGTGGGGAGATGTGGGGAGGTGTGGGGAGGTGTGGGGGGGTGTGGGGAGATGTGGGGAGGTGTGGGGAGGTGTGGGGAGATGTGGGGAGATGTGGGGAGGTGTGGGGAGGTGTGGGGAGGTGTGGGGAGATGTGGGGAGGTGTGTGGAGGTGTGGGGAGATATGGGGAGATGTGGGGAGGTGTGGGGAGGTGTGGGGAGGTGTGGGGAGATGTGGGGAGGTGTGGGGAGATGTGGGGAGGTGTGGGGAGGTGTGGGGAGGTGTGGGGGAGGTGTGGGGAGGTGTGGGGAGGTGTGGGGAGGTGTGGGGAGGTGTGGTGAGATGTGGGGAGGTGTGGGGGAGATGTGGGGGAGGTGTGGGGAGATGTGGGGGAGGTGTGGGGGAGGTGTGGGGAGATGTGGGGAGGTGTGGGGAGATGTGGGGGGGTAAAACTCCGCCACCGGACCAAGCACTTTGCAGTAGCCGGGCTGCAGTAGCGGGCTGGCGGAGTGTCGGTTGTGAGTGTGTGTGGCCTTCGCTGCAGCGTGCCGCCATCTCCGGTCCCGCGCCCCCCCCCCCCCGCGCCGCGCCGGTGTCCAGCCCGAGCCTCTGGCTGCTCTTCCCCTCTCTATCGGTGTCCAGCCCGAGCCTCTGGCTGCTCTTCCCCTCTCTACCGGTGTCCAGCCCGAGCCTCTGGCTGCTCTTCCCCTCTCTATCGGTGTCCAGCCCGAGCCTCTGGCTGCTCTTCCCCTCTCTACCGGTGTCCAGCCCGAGCCTCTGGCTGCTCTTCCCCTCTCTATCGGTGTCCAGCCCGAGCCTCTGGCTGCTCTTCCCCTCTCTATCGGTGTCCAGCCCGAGCCTCTGGCTGCTCTTCCCCTCTCTATCGGTGTCCAGCCCGAGCCTCTGGCTGCTCTTCCCCGCTCTATCGGTGTCCAGCCCGAGCTCTGGCTGCTCTTCCCCTCTCTATCGGTGTCCAGCCCGAGCCTCTGGCTGCTCTTCCCCTCTCTATCGGTGTCCAGCCCGAGCCTCTGGCTGCTCTTCCCCGCTCTATCGGTGTCCAGCCCGAGCCTCTGGCTGCTCTTCCCCGCTCTATCGGTGTCCAGCCCGAGCCTCTGGCTGCTCTTCCCGGTGTCCAGCCCGAGCCTCTGGCTGCTCTTCCCCTCTCTATCGGTGTCCAGCCCGAGCCTCTGGCTGCTCTTCCCCTCTCTATCGGTGTCCAGCCCGAGCCTCTGGCTGCTCTTCCCCTCTCTATCGGTGTCCAGCCCGAGCCTCTGGCTGCTCTTCCCCTCTCTATCGGTGTCCAGCCCGAGCCTCTGGCTGCTCTTCCCCTCTCTATCGGTGTCCAGCCCGAGCCTCTGGCTGCTCTTCCCCTCTCTATCGGTGTCCAGCCCGAGCCTCTGGCTGCTCTTCCCCTCTCTATCGGTGTCCAGCCCGAGCCTCTGGCTGCTCTTCCCCTCTCTATCCGGATGCGTGGCCGGACATGGCATATCGCTCTCGGCGCCCACAGACATCCCGCACACTCGCCGCACACCCGCCGCCCCCGCGCGCGCCCCACCCCGGCCGGGAGAGAGGGGAAGAGTGACAGTTTGGGATGGCAAGCCCGGGTATGTTGAGTCCTGGCTCAACAACGCGGCCCAGCTGGCGGGGGGTGTCTTGTGTGTGTGTGTGCACATACACACGCACCTTGTAGTAGCCGGCGCGTGCGCGGTAGAAGGCCGCCTGCGCGCGGGCGAGGCGGGGCGGGGCGGGCGGGGCGGGGCGGGTCGGGGAGGCGCCGCGGCGGGGAAGCGCCGCGGCGGGGAAGCGCCGCGGTGGGCGGGGAGGCTGAGGAAGGGAGGGAGTAGCAGCGCGGGCACCGCGGCCGGTTTGAGAGAAGACGAGAGGGAAACGGCGGCGGAGGGAGGGGGCGGCGGCGGCGAGGCAAGGCGGCGGCGGCGGGGAGGGTGCTCCGCGGCGGGGAGGGGGGCGGCGGGCAGTGGGGGGGGGCGGGGGAGAAAGGCAGCAAAGGAGGTAGGGCGGCGGCGGCGGCGGCGGCGGTGCGGCGGCGCCTGCACTTCGGGCGTCACCCCAGCAGCGCCCTCAATCTTCGCGGCGGCGGCGTCCAGCTTCTCCTTCGCGGCCTCCTGCTTGCCGAAGCGCAGCAGCATGCGCGACAGCTCGCACAGCACGAAGGCGCCGCTCTCCAGTTCGCCGGCGTGGTCGGCCAGCGCCGCCTCGGCGAACGCTGACACCTCGTCGGCGTCGGCGCACTTGTTGAGTGCGACGGCGACCTGGATGCGGGCAAGGGCGAGCTTGTTGAGCTTGTGCTTGAAGTCGCTCACGAACGTCTCGTACAGCCCGCCCAGCTGCGCCGCCGCCGCCTCCTCTCCGAGGTGCTCCTCGAGCAGTACCGTGAGCTGGTGCCACAGCTTGCGCTTGTACAGCTCCTCCATGCGCGCATAGTTGGGCGCGAGCGAGGGCGCCGCCTCGCCGCACGACTGCAGGAAGGCGACGATCGACTGCGACTTGGCGTCCATTGCGCCGCGATGTTAAAGGGGCGAGACAGCGCGCTTGCCTCAGAAAAAGAATTTTAGCACGCCCTCTGGCCCCAGAAAAAGAATCTTGACAAAACTCCCTCAGAAAAAGAATCTTACTACGAACTCCCTCGCACAACACTGGGCACAACCGGCCGTAGTGTCCCTCGCCCCAGCTCCAGACGGCACCGCCGGCGGTGAGGGCGAGGCTGTGGCTGCTTCCAGCCGACACAGCGATCACGCGCTGGCCAGCCAAGGCCTCGATCTTCTTGGGCAGCAGCTGCTAGAACTGCTGGTTGCCGTGGCCCAGCTTGCCAGAGTAGCCATAGCCCCAGCTCCAAACACTACCTTCGGCGGTGAGGGCGAGGCTGTGGTTGCCTCCAGCCGACACAGCGACGACGCGCTGGCCAGCAAAGGCCTCGACCTTCTTCGGCTGCGGCTGGCTCTGCTGGTCGCCGTGGCCAAGCCGGCCGACATCTCCATAGCCCCAGCTCCAGAGGGCACCGTCGGCGGTGATGGCGAGGCTGTGGTCGACTCCAGCCGACACAGCGACGACGCGCTGGCCTGACAACACCTCGACCTTCTTTGGCAGCAGCAGGTCCTGCTCGTAGCCGTGGCCCAGCAGGCCAAAGTCTCCACAGCCCCAGCTCCAAATGGCACCGTCGGCAGTGAGGGCGAGGCTGTGGCGCTGTCCAGCCGAGACAGCGCCGACGCGCTGGCCAGACAAGGCCTCGATCTTCTTTGGCTCATTGGCTGCCACTCGGTCTGCGCGTCGCCGTGGCCCAGCTTGCCTTGGCCTCCATGGCCCCAGCTCCAGACGGCGCCGTCGGCGGTTAGGGCGAGGCTGTTGTAGTCTCCGGCCGACACGCTCACGGCGCGCTTGCCGCCCAGTGGAGAGGGGAGGCGGGTCGGCGCATTCAGCCGCGTCACGCCCTAGAGCAGCTGAGCCTGCCTCTGGCCTCGCCTCCCTCTCCTTCAGGCATTCGTGGCATCCTATGTGTCGTCCAGAGTATCGACCTCTGGCGAGTCAGCCAGCCCCACTTTGAGGGCGCCATGAAGTACAGCGATCGCCATCTCGCTGGCCTCTCCGCAGGCCCCCCCGACCGCGTCGAACTCATCGGCGTAGATGCGGTGCGGGTGGTCGGCTTTGAGGGGGGATGGCGGGGTCCCGTGGGGGTGAAATGTTGCGCGGCGAATTCGAACCTACCCCCTCGCCACGCCGATCCTCACGCGGAGGGTAAAACCCTGTGGGACAAAACCCCTCCGCGGTCGGCTGTCTTCAGAGTGGACCCCCCCCCTCCCCAGCCTCCCCTGTTGGTTTTTGGCACCCCCCCCCCCCCCGCTCCCCATCGGTGACTCGGGGTGGGGGGGAGGTAGGTGGTAGGTTGTTGGGTGGTTTGACTTTGCCGCTGAGGCCGTCTCTAGCTGTGAACAGCAAACGAGATTCTGTAAGGTGCCTATATGGGCTTCCAAGTATCGGACCTTCAAGACATGCGCTTTTGGCCGGTGGCCTCCTCGGACATGGTACTTCCGGTGAGATGAGTGGCTGCCAGTTCGAGACTGGGGCCGATCGAACTTGAGTTGTTCGGAGGAGGAATCCGGCCAGCACGGGTACAAAGAGGGGTACCCGGAGAATCCCCAGCTGCGGAAACGTAGTGTCGCTCAAGAGGTGCGATACTGCGGGGGAGTGTAAGGTGCCTATATGGGCTTCCAGTATCGGACCTTCAAGACATGCGCTTTTGGCCGGTGGCCTCCTCGCCAAAAATATTTCTTCTTTCCGCAGAAGCAGCGCATCTCAGTCGTTCTTCACACGGCCATCGCAGAGCAGGTCGTGAATGAGCTTGCCTGTGGCGGGGGTGGGCGGGTGCACGGAGCTAAGTGCCTCGCCACCCTCGCAGGAGTCGCTTAGGCGGCTCCCGTGGTGTACCTGTGTTAGTGCCAGTGCGCGCCAGTCCCGTGCCCAGTGTTGTGCGAGGGAGTTTTGTTCAAAGATTCCTTCCCAAATTCTCTTTCCAGCTCGCCGACCTGGCTCGGCACCTTGCAGTGCAGATCTGATGGCCATGCAGATGCTCGTCCTACTCCCAGCTTTGGTCTCAGGGAACGGAATATGCCGGGGGAGGAGAGCCTTCAGCGAAAAGCATGAGTGCGCGCCGAGGTGGTTTCATTGCCCCAAATGCGGCACCTCGTTTGGCACGCTCCTTCTGCGTCTTGGTCACCCCGAGCGCTTCGGGTCCTACATCTGCGACGACAAGCGCACCGGGCCGTCCGGCTGTACGAACCCGGCGAACCTGCTCTTTGACGTCGAAGATGCCTGCTTTGGCGACCGGCTCGGCGACATGTCGGATAGCTGCCTCGGCGCTCCACCGGGCATGTGGCCTCCAGAGCGTGCCTTCGGCCTTCACCTGCCCATCCCAAAAGGGCTGGTCTCGGCAGGGCAGAGTCGTTTTTACGGCATCTTCCGCGAGCCCAAGTCGCGAGCCCTCTCGTCATACACTTACTTCCGACGGCTGTTTAACGAGACCATGCCCGACGTGGGTGGAGAGTCCCCGACCCCCGCAGGAGCAGCGTGGTACGCGCAGCGCATCCGCGGTGTCGTGGCGCGGCAGCTCGCAGGCGAAACTAAGGGCATCATCTGCACGGCGCCGGATAACCGAGGCCCATGCCCGAAGGCGTTGCGTGCGCCGAATCCGCAGCGCGTTAACGAAGCTCGATTTCGGCTGAACGGGTTCCGTTTCGTCGGCTTGCAGAGCGAGTGGCTCCTCAGCATTTGCCTACTGCGCACCATGACAGACACGAAATGTGAGGTCTCGGACACGGCCAATGCCCGCCCAGGTGCGCTCCGGCCGCGGCGTGTGACCACCTTTGGACACACGCCCCAGCCCACGTTGCCCTAAAGACACACATCCCCGCACACTTTTCACACCCCTATCTAGGCGCACGTGGCATCATCAGCGACTCTCTCCACCGGCTCCGCAGCGCAATCTACGCTGTGAACGACACCGACGACGAGGCGGTATACGCGATGGCGCGCCAGCGCTTCTGGGCCGACGTGGCGCTCTACAATCTGAGCCGTTCAGGCTGTGAGCGGAAGTGCCGTCCCCCGCCGACGGCAGGCCTCGTCGTTCGCGGCTTTGGTGATATGGGCATAGACCGCGAGGGGTACCCGACGCACTATTCGCACCTGCTTCGCAACTGGCTGCCGCGCCTGTGGGAGTGCCAGGGGGACTTCCCGCAGGAGCGCGCACTCTTCGTCCCCAAGAAGCTTGTGCCTCTCTACGCTGACATAGTGGCGCGATATGGAATGACGATCACCCAGGAGAAAGGCGTCGAGTGCGCCATCCACATACCAGCCCGCCCACCGAGCTACTTCTTCGACATGTTTGCCGACCCCGCACGCAACTTGCGCGCCGAGCAGGGCTGCAGCTCCAGCGACGTCGTGCTAGTTCTGCGGACAAGCAAGCGAGCCGAGCGCCGGCGCTCGATAGCCAACCCGGGTACCGTGGCCGAGGTTGTGGGCACGTTTGCTCGTCAAAAAAACCTGAGCTTCGAGGTCGTCAGTTTTGAAGACTACGCGTTTGCCGAGCAGCTGCGCAAGGTCTGCACTACGCGCTTGCTGATTGGACAGCACGGCGCGGGCATCGGCAACGCCTTATGGAGCTATCGCCGGCCAATGGTGGTGCTTGAGCTGCCGCCTACGCTACCCGGGTGGTGGAGCGGTCTTCTCGCGCCGCGCTACGGTTTCACCTACTACCACGACGTCAGTGAAGGCCATTGCTGGCACGACTCCGCCAACAAGAGCCATAGTGTGACACGAGGGACGCGCGTAGGCAGCAATACGACGATGACCGTCAGCGTCCCGCACCTGCGGACGCTGCTGCACACGGGCTGGCTCATGATGCAGAAGAACAACCGCACCGCACGGAAGCAAGGCAAGCTCTGGGAAGGCGTACAACCCGGCAACACGATTAGGCCGGGGACGACGCGGTCTTGGCACAAGAACAAAGGCGGAGGACGCAGTGGGAATGCGAACAGGCCGTTCTGAGGATACTGCCCCCCCCCCCCCCTCCTCCGCCTCGCCTGGCTCGGCTTCTGACAATTTCGGCGAACAATCTCGGCGAACGGAGATGGGGAAAAGCGCCTACGGGATCACTACTACTGGGGACTACTCTGCATTGCTGCGACCTGAGGGAGGGTGTAGAGGATGTAGAGTGTAGAGCGCTGTAGAGCTGTAGAGATGTAGAGCGCTCTGGAGCGCTGTAGAGCTGTAGAGCTCTTCATCGGCTGCGTGACGAACTGCGTGCGTTGTAGAGCGATGTAGAGCGCGATTTTGCTGTAGAGTTTGTTGTAGAGGCTCTACAGCCAAACCGCCGGGAAGGCAGTGACTCAAAGAGGTCGAGCCGCGCTAATGGGGTGTCTCCGAGCTTACTGGAGCTCTGATGGACGGCCCTGACTATCCCTGACACACAGAGAGTCACTCTGACGACACACAACACCCTATAACTGCGTCATGACCAGCCCGTCGCCGGTGCCGCATTCGTCGCTGTGCTTCTTTAGCAGGCGGTGGACTGTCGGCTGCGAGGACGGTCGCATTTGCGCGAGGCGAGGCGAGCATTGCTGCGCGTTGCATGCGCCATGCCTCGCGCCAGCGCGTGCGGGAGCTCCTGGCTGAGCGTTGAGTCCAGGCGAGTTGCGCTGGCCACGATCGCTACGCCGAGCCGAGCTGACGCGCCGAGGCGCCGGCCAGTCGCAGCCGCGAGGCATGCCACAGCAGCAGAGGCATCTGCCACCCATTGGGCGGGCAGACAGAAGGCCAGGGCAGCACTGGCAAGTGCAACGCGCCTCATGTCGGAGAGCGCGACCGTGCCTCCATCGCCGGTTATGGTGTAGAGTTTGTTGTAGAGATTTCACGTTGTAGAGCGCCTCTACATCGCTCTACAACGCACGCAGTTCGTCCCGCGGCGGATGTAGAGCTCTACAGCTCTACATTGCTCTACAGCGCTCCAGAGCGCTCTACATCTCTACATCTCTACAGCGCTCTACACTCTACATCCTCTACACCCTCCCTCAGGCTGCGACGCCTTCGAATGTGCTTATACTCTAAATAAATAAATAAAACGGACACCTCTACTGTGAGATGGGTAAAAAGGAACAGGTCCCCGCCCTTGCGATGTTTGTGCAGGGTTCTTTGTGGGTGTGGTCGGCGACTAGCCGGGGTCGTCCTCCCGATGGGGGACTAGCACTAGCCGTCTTCCACATTGGTCCCTCGGGTGAACCGGCCGCGCCCCGCACACAAGATCAAGAACTCCAGCATCCAGCTCTCAGCCTTTCCGCACGACAAGAGCCGCCCCTCGCCGTCGATGAAGAGGCTGTGCTGAAAGCCTCCCGCCGCCTTCACCGGCGGGTTGGTCTCGCGCAGCAAGGCCGAGTAGCACAGCCACCGCACGGCGCAGCTCTCGCCCTCTGGCTGCGCCGGCGGCTCGTAGCCGGCCTCTTGCAGGCGCAAGCGGATGCCCTCCAGCGCAAGCGAGGCGTGGAAGAGCAGCGAGACGGCCGCGACGCGAGCGATGTCGGCGGGGTCGCAGCGGGAGAGGGCGCGCACGAGGAGCTCCGTGGGGAGGTCGAGGAGGCGGGTGGACGGCGTCTCTGGCGAGGAGGCAAGGCGGCGCGAGCGGCGCCGCGGGGCAGACATGTACAATTTGTACGTCGCGAGGAAAAGAATTTTCTCGTATTTTAGCATTGAGCTCCCTCGCACGACACTGGGCTTGTGCTAGTCGCTATTCTCCGACGGTTCGGGGAGGACGGCACGCCGCCAGCCCGGGATGGATTTCTTGTGGGCACACTCGGCTCCGACTATATGCAGCTTTTCGTGGCGGCCGTCCTCTCAAAACGTAAGATATCGGACGCACAGGCAACACCCCGCCACCTCACTGCCATGCTCTCTGCCCCGGCGCCCACGCCTCGATCTTCTTGGGCAGCAGCTGGTTCGGCAGGTCCTCTCCGTGGCCTAGGCCGCCGTGTTCGCCCTTGCCCCACGTGGAGACAGCTCTGTCGGCGGTGAGGGCGATGCTGTGATCGATTCCAGCCGACACGGCGACGATGCGCTGGCCAGCAATGGCCTCAACCTTCTTTGGCAGCAGCTGGTTCTGCTGGTCGCCGTGGCCCAGCTTGCCATAGCCTCCACCGCCCCAGCTCCAGACGGCGCCGTCGGCGGTGAGGGCGAGGTTGTGGTTCTCTCCCGCCGACACGGTGATGACGCGCTGCCCCGCCAAGGCCTCGACCTTCTTGGGCTGCCACTGGCTCTGCCCGTCGCCGTGGCCCAGCCGGCCAAAGCCTCCACCTCCCCAGCTCCAGAGGGCGCCGTCGGCGGTGAGGGCGAGGCTGTGGCTATGCGAGAATCCCGCCGAGACAGCGACGACGCGCTTCCCCGCCAAGGATTCGATCTTCTTGGGCAGCAGCTGGTTCTGCTGGTCTCCGTGGCCCAACCGGCCGTGGACTCCATAGCCCCAGCTCCACATGCTGCCGTCAGCGGTGAGGGCGAGGCTGTGGTTTCCTCCCGCCGACACAGCGACGACGCGCTGCCCAGCCAACGCTTCGATCTTCTTCGGCAGCAGCTGGCGCTGCTGGTCGCCGTGGCCCAACTGGGCAAATGGTCCATGGCCCCAGCTCCAGACGGCTCCGTCGGCGGTGAGGGCGAGGCTGTGGCGGGCTCCAGCCGACACAGCGACGACGCGCTGGTCAGCAGAGGCCTCGATCTTCTTGGGCAGCAGCTGGTGCTGCTCGTCGCCGTGGCCCAGCTGGCCAAAGCCTCCCCAGCCCCAGCTCCAGACACTGCCGTCAGCGGCGAGGGCGAGGCTATGCGCAGCTCCCGCCGACACGCTCACGGCGCGATCGCCGCCCAGCGGGGAAGGGAGGCGGGTCGGCGTGTTGAGCTGCGTCACGCCATCGCCGTGCCCGAGCAGTCCCGACATCCAGTTCTCAGCCGTTCCGCACGACAAGAGCCGCCCCTCGCCGTCGATGAAGAGGCTGTGCTGTTGGCCTGCCGCCGCCCTCGCCGGCGGGTTGGACTCGCGAAGCAAGGCCGAGTAGCACAGCCACCGCACGGTGCAGCCCTCGCCCTCCGGCTGCGCCGGCAGCTCGAAGCCGCGCTCTCGCGCCCACAAGCGGATGGCCTCCAGCGCAAGCGAGGCGTGGAAGAGAAGCGAGACGGCCGCAACGCGAGCGATGTCGGCGGGGTCGCAGCGAGAGAAGACGCGCACGAGGAGGTCCGTGGGGAGGTCGAGGAGGCGGGCGGGCGGCGGCTTGTCTGGCGAGGGGGCGGCGGAGGCGGCGGAGGTGGCGAGGCGGCGCGAGCGGCGGCGCGGCGGGGTGGTGGACATCGCGAGGAAAAGAAAAAAAAATATTCCCCCGCCGTCCCAAACTGTCACTCCCCTTTCTCCCGGCCGGGGTGGGGCGCGCGCGGGGGCGGCGGGTGTGCGGGATGTCTGTGGGGGCCCAAGAGCGATGCGTCATGTGTGTGTCCGCCTTGCTTTGTTTCATAACATCAAAGGCTAGCTCAAAAAGAAACGCTGACGCCACTAGGCAGTGTGGTAAGTTTTTTCTTGCTTTTGCAGCCGGCCGACTGGCGGTACTCTCCCGCGACTGCATCCACACCTCTCCTCACACGCCCAGCGACGTGAGCCCTCGTACCGGCTAGCATCCGGATGCGGCAGCTGCTCCTGCTAGCGCTGGCGGCATCTGCCAGCGGGCTCGCCAGCCTCTTCCAGCCCGCTCGGCCGCCGCTGCGAGCGCGCAGCTGCGCCGCCCAGGCCGGGTGTGTTCGATTGTAAAAAATCGGCCATTTGGTCCCCAGGGGCCGCCCCTGGCCGCCCGCGCGCACAAAAAAATACTCCGCCGCCCCGAACGCCCCCAGAAAACAACATACTAGCCCCACAAGCGTCACGAGTTTACGAGAGTACTCAAAATAAATTCCCGGAGTGCCCGGCCGCGCCGGCAGCAGGCGGCGGCCTATGGCACCCGTAAGCGTGCAGTGGCCGTCCCAGTCGTACAGCGCGCCGACCTTGACCTCGCCCATGAAGAGGGAGCGGTAGAGGGCCGTGCAGCTGAACACCTGGCCGTGCGGCAGCACCTCATCGAACACCGGCGGCGCCTTGTAGCCGGGCTCGAGCTTGATGCGGCCGAGCACGGAGAGCCGCGTCGCGGTCTTCGAGCCGGCCTTGACCACGTTGTTCCGCTTCATGCGCGTGCGGCGCAGCAGCTGCGTGACGCCCGAGCTGTGGGGGCGACGGCGAGGCGGCGTAAGGGCGGTGGCGGCAGGTGTGGGCGGCAGGTTGTGTCTGCCCTCGCGGGAAGCGGGAGGCCGGGACCGATGACAGAGGGAGCGAGGGTTGGGGGAGGGGGGGCGAGGAAGGGGGGCGAGGCTCCTGTCGTAGCCCTGAAAGTGCCCGGCGAGCGCGGCCGTCGCCCCCTTCTTGGAGATGCTCGCACGCTTGCCAGAC